GCAGGAACGACAGTTTATGACCGAAATATTATGCTTACGAGCTGACATGGAAATAGAGCAGAAAAGTAAAATTCTAGGCCTGAATCCATTTTTAGACAAAGATGGTATTCTTAGGGTCGGTGGTAGGCTACAAAATAGCAATTTGCTATTTGATGTCAAGCACCCGATCATATTAGATAAGTGCCACGTTACAAGATTAAAATGTGGAAAGGCACATAAGGAGACTTTGCATGGTGGCATTAATTCTCTAAAGAAGGGATTCTCTAAAGGGATTCTCTAAAGAAGGTATTGAGAGAGTGTGTCACCTGTGCACGATATCGACAATGTACAGGCAAACAAATAATGGGTAATTTGCCGAAGTGCAGAGTAAAATACGGGTATAGACTATGCAGGACCACACCACCTAAAATGCTCAAAAAATCGGGGTCAGAAAACTTTAAAAGGCTATATCTCAGTGTTTGTATGTATGGCTAGGAAGGAAATTACAAGGCATTACAAAGATTTATAGCGAGAAGAGGAAAATGTGCCAATATATATACGGATATTGGTACTAATTTTGTAGGAGCTGCACGGAAGTTCGACGAAGAATAAGTAAAAGCCATACAACATAACTCCAGAGTAGCTGCAGAAAAGGAAACCGAAAAAAATTCAGTGGCATTTTATCCCGCCGGCAAGACCTCACTTTGAAGGTATTTGGGAAGCAGATGTTAAGTCCGTTAAATATCATTTAAAAAGTGTAATTGGAGATAGTATGTATATTGACAGGTGGTAAGGGTGCGACAATCCAAGGCAAAGTCAACAGGGCAACTGTTGATGAATATTCCTTGGCTCAAATGGAACACCAAGTCGACTCGCAGTCTCCTCAGAGAAGGTCCTCCGCGTGGTACCTCCTGGAAACGTACTACGGTACGGCCAATGCGAGCGGCACCTCCTGTGAATCCCGCACCCAATAATCCTCTGACTCCCAATCCCTACCAAGACATGGGCAAGTCTTGAAACTGCCTCCCCTCAAGTCAGGTGTGTAAAGCGACCCGTGCCCACTGACTATAAGGTTCGCAGCTGAGGGGGCAAACCAGCTGTGTTAGAACGGAGCCTTCCCAGGGCCGGGCAACCCTGGGTCGGAACGAGCCTTGCGTGGCTTAGTGGCGAAGCCACGGTCGACCTTACTTAAATGCCCCAAACCCCTCGGGCCCGCCGCGCTCGCCCTGTCGAGCAACGCGGGCGTTTATGAACATGAATTCAACCAAAAAATCCTCTTCGGACCTCGTGGGGGAGGTAAAACCCCAACAACCGGCGACTGAGAGTGAATTGGACGAGGAGGAGCTACTGCGCTCAGATGATGAGACTCTGGCTCCGTCCATTTCAGAGGGAAGTGCTAAGACCAGCACACATCAAGCGATACAACCAACGACAAGCAAAGCAGCGGCAAGCCAAGCCAAAGCGACGGGCGAACACGGGAAGTCAAAACCGTGGACCAACCAGCAACGAAAGGCGCAAGCAAGCAAGGCCCATTTCATCCTCGCCAAAATAGCAAGGAATGAAAAGGAGGGCAAAGCCGACCCGCGCAACGCTGCAGACAAAGCCAGGTACCTTGCAGTGATCGAGGAATACGAGCGCTATGAAAAGAAGCACCCAGAAGCGCTTTTGCCTCCCCAAGCGAAGCGCAACCGCTCACAAGAGGTGAGCGAGAATGCTCCGAAGAGAGCGAAGGACGCAAAGGGCGCACCGAGACCGACCACTTTTGTCAAGCCGAAAAAGGCGAAAAAGTTCAGCGAGGTGGCCCGAGATAGCCTCGCAATGACACTTGTCGATGAGCTCAATGACGATGGGCGCCTTCTGATGGAGAAATGGGAGGAGGTCGAGACCCAGTTGGCGGAGATAGTAACGGACAAGATACTGTCCCAGCCAACGGGTCGGTCACCCTCCTTTGACTCCTCGGAAATGGTTAGAGGGCACCGGGTAATCAGGTGCGACGATGAGTTCTCGCGGGACTTCCTGGCGGACTGCGTTGCCAGACTAGGCAACGCATGGAAGGGGATAAGCATAACACTGGTCCCCGCCAAGGACATCCCAAGGAGACCCAGAGCTCTCATTTGGTTAGCCAAGGGGCTGTCTAGCCATGAAAGGGTTCTCAAGACTCTGCGAGCGACAAGGGAGTCGATATGGTGGACTGGGCCATCCTCAAAGCGGAACGGGAAATGAAGTCCAGCCAGCCATACATGTTCCTGATAAACCAGCGCTGCCTAGAACAGCTTAAGGCAGCAGACAATAAAGTCCGGTGCGGCATTAGGAAAGCCAAGGTAAAGGTCTTCCTAGACGAACCGGAAGACGAAGTCGAAGACGCCAACAAGCTGCTGGACGACTTGGCAATCAAAGACAGCACCCCCAACCGGAAGGAATAGATAAGGAAGTTGAGGACTTCACAAACATTCTGAACAAAGCTTATAAAGAGTCATGCAGACTAACAAGTTACGGAACCAAAGACTGGCAGCCGTACAAAGCAATGCACGAAGAATATAAAAAGGCAACCTAAGCAGCCAAGAAAGAATCTTGGAGTAGCTACTGCGAATCGCTAGAAGGAGTCAAAGACACGGCTAGGCTAAGCAAAATCCTAGCGAGAGGGCGCACAAGCCCCACGCTTATAAACAAACCCGACGGGACAGGAAGTACGTCGGCTGAAGAGTCACTGGAAAGAGTCACCATGGGGGGGGTGATTTCAATATATAAAATGCATAGACGTATCGTCTGCTTTATTTGGCTTCAAGATTCTAACTAATTACAAGCGGGAGCGGGAGATCAAAATAGTAGTGCGCGAGCGGCCGAAGCATCAGCTTGGAGAGCGAGAGCGCAAGCGGAGGAGCTTTGGACTGGAAGCCCGGAGGGAGAGGGAGAGAAAGAGAGAGCGCACTGCCTCCCGAAATTAAGCGCCTTTCTGGCGTGAACATTGAACAGATCCTCCAGAATGGTGGTGGGCCAAGCAGTTTACGCAGTATTTTCTGTAGATGACTGCCTGGAGCCGTTTCTTCGCATCAAGCCGAAGAAAACGGTGGTACTTCCGAAGAGGATGGTTCCCTTGACAGACTCGGCATTGCTAGGATGAAATACCTCGGGAACGTCTGCTTTTGCTGTCGTTGTATGGAACGACGAAATCCGTTGGATAGGTGGAGATATGTGTCGGGTGTCATCACGAGGAATCGGAACACTGGAAGATGAGTCGCTTGGATGCAACAAAGTGTGATGCCGACCGTGGCAAGTGAGACAGTTGTGGGCGCTTGTGCAATTATGGAGTGGATGACCGCTTGCAAAGCAATTTAAGCACAACTGCTTTTCTGGATATAAGATGATGGATCGACTATCGTCATCTGAAGGAAGCGTGGACACAAACGCACTGGATGGTTCTCTGCAGAACACAAATCTCATCTTTTGGACGTATGAAGAATACTCGTACTAAAGGATTGTAGTACACGTGGCGATGGGTTGGAGATTGTCGGTTTAGATGAACGAAAGCGTGTCACAGTAGGCTGGAGAGAATCTGTGGCTTCCAGAGTTCTATAGCGCTCTGTTAGGAATGAATCAAGTTCCGGCCACGTAGGAATTTCGGTTTTTTGTTCGATGGATTGCTCCCATAATGAAAGCGTCAGCTTTGGAAGTTTTGTGGAGCACAAGTTTTGTGGAGGCAATCCCAATTCTCAGTAGAAAGGCCGGAAATTCTCAGCGATGTTAGACAATTTTGGATTGCATTTTGCAGCTCCTTCAAGGCTGCCGAGGATTCGCGTTCAATGGACTCCATGTTATGTAATTTCTTAAGTTGATTGTTTACCAACGCGCGTTTATTTTCGAAACGATCGTGAAGCGCTGACCACGCGGATTGAAACCCATCATTAGTTAGCGGAGACTTCGTAACGATGGCGTGAGCTTCGCCGCTAGTTTTGGCGTTTAAGTGGAAAAGCTTTTCCACTGGAGTTAGGTTGGAATTGTTCACGTACATGGCCGTAAACAGATCACGAAATGTGGGCCAGCGCAGATAATCTCCGTCGAAGATTCCTGTATCGCATGGCGGAAGATCGCAGCCCCTCGAGAATGTCTCTGGTGGCGGAGCTGCTCTTGCCTGTGAATTGGAGACGGACACACGGTCAATGTCTTCGCTCAGCTTGGAAGCACATCTTTCGTACACCGCATAATAGTGTTCGTATTTATCTTGAAGTAGCGGAAGATTTCCGCAGAATGTAAAGAGACACTAAACAGACTCGCAAAAGACAACAGGATACAAGTAGCCTGGGTACCCGGACACAATGACAATGAGCTGCCAGGAACCAAGCGAGCAGGAGACACCAGAGCATCTGCTGTGCCACTGCCTGGCACTCAATAAACAAAGAGCCCGACACTTCGGAGCACACCAACTCGAGTCACTAGGGGAAGTTGAAAGGCAGCCAGTAGCTGCCATCCTAGCTTACCTGAATGACACGGGCTAGTACTGAGGGCTGGTACTGAGGGCGCTGACAACAGTAAATCGAGGGCGTGGATCAAAACGGAGCTCAGCTCTAATTGGAGGCGGCCAGTGTGGCCTCACCACTTTTACCTACCTACCATATGTAAATTGTAATGAAACTGTGTTTTCAGCATTTAAATCTATAATATAAACATCAAACGCAATCTGCAATGGTATACAAATTTGGCGTGCCGAAGTTAGCTTCCTTTCTTGTTATTACTTAAACCACTCTAATTTTGACAGTTAACCCATTAATTGCGTTTTTATTACCCTTGTGGCCGACATCAAAGGTCCCGATAATCGGGATAAATAACTACTAACATAAATAAACTAACGGAAAATATATTAATATGCTTATTAATATAGTTTAACGAGCGTTCTTTGTTTTTATCTTAAGAGTTTGGATAAACTGCTGTTCTTAATTTATTCTCATTTGGAAGCCTATTAAAATTTGATGGTCTTTAGATTGAAAGCTAGAAGTCGCAATAGTTTTATTCTACCTTAATCTTACCTGTAAAGACCAATCTCCAGTTTGTTTGTTGTAAATAGAAGTGAATCTTTGATCCGACGTATAGGTGCTTTCAGATACTGTTAAAAGGTGCAGATCTCTATGACGTATCCACGATACCTATTTTAAATTAAAAAATTGTTTATAAATAAAAGACATCGACACAAAGATAAAAAAAGATTTGGTATAGGATCCTAAGAAACTTGGCCCCACTTAATCCGAATCCAAGGCTTAATAAGGGAGCGCTTGAGGTAAAAAAATAAAAAATCAGAGCTCGCAAATATATGTTGACCGTTGTTTGCTTTCTCACAATCTGTCTGTTACTCTTGAAGAGAGTCTGTTCTGTTTTAGCTTGGTTTTATTCAGTTTTTGAGCTCTTTCTGTAGATATAATCGAAAAATTAATGGATCCATAATTTTTCTCAAAATATTCGCATTTACCGAGACATTTTTTGTCCAAGTGGAAAGGGAGATTACCGCAGGATCCAGATGGAAAAGACGAACAAAGACTGAACCCGAACACTGAAGAGCCTGGGTAACTTTAACATATCGGGATATCTGCTCAACATTGCGGTATTTCAGGCATTACACGAGCCTGGCTTCCAGAGAATGCAATGTCTCAGCCGGAGTTCAGCAGGGTTCTGTCACGGTACCGATACTCTGGAACGCTATGTATGACGGAGTACTGAGACTCCTATTGCCCGCCATCACAAATGCCGACATAGTGGTGTTCGCGAAGGAGCTAGCAACTACTAGCAGGACCGGTGTGGAAGGGATAGCGGTATCGTACAGGCTGTGCGCCATTAGGTCAAAAGGTCAAAAAAACAATTTCATGACATGAGTTAATAAACTCTTGTATGCATCCGTTTTCGCAACGATATCATTTGCAGGTAGAATAAGTCTAATCAGCATAAGTTTCGTAATAATTACATAAGCATAAAGAATAAGCTAAATAAGAATTCCGTTTAAGTACACAAACAGAAAACAATTGTAACACAATAAACTGTCAAGTGTAAAACCTTTAAATATAGCCATATGACACAGGCGCATTAATTAGAGACTTCATTAAAGCTTTGACAGCGCTATAGCGTTTTACAGAAGTGCGAGCAAGACGACTATATGGCGCTCTAATGTATTAGAATAATGCATTTGCTACTTCATTGCAGCGATAATCGATAGATCTACATAAATTATACTACAAAATACGGGTTTAATGAAGAAAATTGTAGTTGAAATATGTATTAGCCAGCTCATTGACAGTATGGTCTCACAATGACAATTTTATTATACCCTTGCAGGGTATTATAATTTCAGTCAGAAGTTTGCAACGCAGTGAAGGAGACCTTTCCGACCCTATAAAGTATATATATTCTTGATCAGCATCAACAGCCGAGTCGATCTAGCCATGTCCGTCTGTCCGCCCGTCTATCCGTCTGTCTGTCCGTTTCTACGCAAACTAGTCCCTCAGTTTTAAAGCTATCTGAATGAAACTTTGCATATAGTCTACTATATACTCTCACTGCTATATATGTCGGAACGGGCCGGATCGGACGACTATATTGAAATAGGATTGTTCCGAATATCCAGGATTTTCAATGATAAGATTTTAGTTTGAGGTTTTTATACCCTTGCAGGGTATTATAATTTCAGTCAGAAGTTTGCAACGCAGTGAAGGAGACGTTTCCGACCCTATAAAGTATATATATTCTTGATCAGCATCAACAGCCGAGTCGATCTAGCCATGTCCGTCTGTCCGTCTGTCTGTCTGTCCGTCTGTCTGTCTGTCCGTCTGTCTGTTTCTACGCAAACTAGTCCCTCAGTTTTAAAGCTATCTGAATGAAACTTTGCATATAGTCTTCTATATGCTCTCACTGCTATATATGTCGGAACGGCCCGGATCGGACGACTATATCATATAGCTGCCATACAAATGTTCGATATATTTGTAGAAAAAAATTAGAACTTTGATGTTTTTCAACATTTTTGCACCATTTTTTAGATATGGCCATTCTATATTATTTTAGAATTTTGGTATAAATTTTATGAAAATCGGACGACTATATGATATAGCTGCCATAGGAACGGTCGAGAAATAAATAGGAATAAAAATTATAGTTTCGTTGTTTTTCAACGTATGTTTATCTACTCTGAGATATAAGCTTTTTTTATTATTTTAGAATTATGGTATAAATTTCATAAAAATCGGACAACTATATCATATAGCTGCCATATAAACCGATCGGTAGATGTAGAGAAAATGTAAAACTGGGAATGTAAAACTGTAACTGTCAAACTTTAAACATAATAAGTATAGGTAAAATTTAATGAAACTCTGTTTTGTGAGTGTTTTCAGCATTTAAATCTATAATATAAACATCGAAACCAATCTGCAAGGGTATACAAACTTCGGCGTGCCGAAGTTAGCTTCCTTTCTTGTTATATTTGGTTTTTAGTTTTATTTTTTTACTTTCGAATTGGAGCAGCTATGATGCCGCTTTGGGGCAGCTATGATGCCGCCTTGGAGCTCAAAGAGTTAATGTTTTATACAGTATTCCTTAAGTTAAAATATAAGCTCGGTCTCGTAGCTGCGCTGCTCGCAGGCAGCGGCAGAGAGACGGCTATGGATATATATATTCTTATGTATAAAGAAATGTACTTATGTACATTGGCTATGCGCTCACAAGTGGAGGCGCGAGGGGGTATGCGCGTGTAGTCCATTCGATGCAAATATGCCGACACTAGCACTTTTCAATGCGCAGGCTAAGCCTTAGCGATCGTTTCATATTTCGGCCACTCAATGGTTTATGACCGGGACTTTGAAATATGTAAACACTGCAACATTGTGTTACAGCGCGCACCCGTTAAGTTATAATATACAGTGGGTACTTGATATGTGTGCATACTACATCTCCCTCCTTTTGAAAAATAACGTAATATAATGAAGCTATTTTATACTAGTGTTTATAATTAATACACTTTTAATTGGTTTTTGCTATTTTTTTTTTTTTTTTGTTTTAGTTTTGTTTGTTTTTTTTTTTTGTTGTATTTTGTAAGTGTATTTATGTGTAGGTATGAGTGTGTATGGCTAGACTAAATGCAAATTATGAAATAAAGATTTGTAACCTATCCTTATGATATATCATTTACCCTATGGTCGTATAATAATTTATTCCTATTCTTACTGGCGTCTAACATAACCCTAGCTCTTTTATAAGCTAATTCTAATCTATACTTAGATTCCTTAGCATAGTCATCTATATTGTAAATTGGTTCTACTCTATCTATGCTATTGAAGTGTTTCGGTAAATTACTTGTTTTACCGAACACTAACTCATATGGACAATAAGTATGTGCCATAGGGGGGGACATGTTGAAACAAAAAACGTAGTATTGAAGCCATACGTCCCAATCAGATTTGTCAACCGATATATAGGATCGTATATACTCATTAAAGGTTCTGTGGCTTCTTTCTACTGTTCCAACTGTCTGGTGATGGTGTGCTGTTGATGTAATATTTTTGATTTTCAAATATTTGCACAGATCGTCTATGATTGAATTTATATACTCTGTTCCCATGTCCGTAATGAACGTCTTCATTGGACCGTACTTCAGAATAAAAGATTCAAATATTGCTTTGGCTACGGTATTAGCATTTTTATTTGGAATCGGTATTGCAACTAAATATTTCGTTAGATCACATATTAATGTGACTGCATACTCGTTACCATTTTCAGATTTTGGTAGTGGTCCAATGGTATCCACTATCACTCTGTCGAATGCGTGTGTTGGTGTATCTGTGATTGTAAGAGGGGTCTTAGTGTGATTTGTTATTTTAGATTTCTGGCATTTCGGACATTTCCTTATGTACTCTTTTATGTCTTTGGACATATTTTTCCAGTAGTAGTGTCTCTGGACCTTGGCCAAGGTTTTTGTGATGCCAGTGTGACCTCCTTGTATTGGATCATCATGTAACGTAGACAAAATTGCTTCTTTATCTGTATCATTTGATACTAGGGTCACCGGGTTGAGTAGCGCTACTCTTAATGTTTTCAGTATCTTATTGCCCATTAATTTAAAATTATCTATTGATATTTTATCAAATATATTTTCCCACGGTGCCACTTTGAGTTGGCTGATATTATGTATACCGGCTTGCATTTCAAGCCTTTGGAAAAATTGACCTAAGTCGATAACTCCATTAGTATATAAATCGCTAACCTCATATCTTGCAATAATTTTCTTGCCATGTTTAAATAAACATAACATATCTTTTATATGCAAGGTCACTACTTTACGTACTTCGTCATTGTTTATGACGTCGTAAACGTTGGGCTTAGAAGCTTTATTCAGAGATTGCGTAGACAATTCTTTTTCTTGTTGTTCCGCGCGGAATTTTTGTCTACTTTGAAATCGTGTAGTGACTTTATTTATCGATCCAGTTATATTTTGTAGTTCTTTGATGGTTATTCTTGATAACGCATCAGCTACATAATTGTCTTTGCCCTTCAGGTATTCTACCGTAAAATCGAATTCCTCTAACTCAAGCCTTATACGTGTTAATTTCGAACTTGGATTTACCATTGAAAACAAATAGGTTAATGGTCTATGATCCGTTTTAATAGTGAAGTGGTTGCCATAAATATATGGTCGAAAATGTTTTATAGCCCAATGAATAGCAGCTAATTCCTGCTCAGTAGTACTCTTGTTACTCTCTCCTTTAGTAAAGGATCTTGATGCGTATGTAATTGGAAGTTGGAGTCCATTATGGTTTTGAGTTAAAACCGCTCCACACGCTTGTTTACTTGCATCAGTTATTATGCAGAATTCTTTAGAAAAATCTGGATATTGTAACAAGGTTGGATTTATGAGTGCCGTTTTAAGATGATCGAAGGCATTCTGGCATTCCGATGTCCATTCGAATTTTACATATTTTTTGCATAACCTAGTTATGTGACGGGAATAATCGGCAAAATTTTTTATAAAGCGCCTATAATAATTGCAAAATGCAACGAATCGTCTAGCGCTGTCCGCGTCATGCGGGACTGGATAGTTTTTTATTACGTCATATTTTTTGTCATCAGGCAAGATTCCTTTATCAGTGCATTTATGTCCCAAAAATGT